CTAAGAATCTCATCCATTCATTGTAGAAATACACAAACATCAATTTTTCATAACGATTTCATTGCAAGGATATAAATAAGTCAAACCAAAATTTATTTTATTCATAAAAGCAGCGGAAAACATGTCCTTACAAACTATGTAATCAAAATATTCCTAACAAATCTATCATAACTTCCTAAGCTCAAAATCTGATCTTCGAATCCATGCGATTGTAATCCATTTCTTCATGATCAGACTCGTCTTGCTCTTCCATCAAGCTTCCTCTCCTTTTCTCCGATCCTGCAAAACATCCAAATGTAATCTTATTAAATCATGTATTAAGAATCAATGAATAGGAACTTAACAGAGTTAGATAGTGGATTTTACCTGAAGCTGACTCTCCCATCAAGCTGACTCTCCCATCTCTTGAATTCTTCAAGTCCTCTGGGCAGCTTCGTAGCCAACGCCCCTTCTCTTGGCAGCAGAAACATGTGGCTTCCTCTGCAGTGTCCACGGAAGCATGGTTGGTTGATTTACCAGACAAATATGCCCCATTGCTTTGCCAAATCTTTTCTGATTCAGCAGCAATGAGCATGTAAGGCAGGTCAATGAGGGTCGCGTCTAGATCCATCATATAATACTTTCTTACGAATTTATTATATGATTCAGGGAGTGACTGAAGAACCCAATCTACTGCCAACTTATTTGGGAAAGTCGCACCCAACATTATGAACCTATCGATGTGTGATTTCATCCCTAGGACGTGAGCACACACGGGTTTACCATCTTCATGTTTCATCGCCAACAGGGCTTCAGTGATTTTGAACTTTTCAATCCTTCGATCTTGTGGGTTTGGGAGAACAACGGGAGGAGGTGGAGGAAGTGAAATCAAGCTAGTCCACGAGGAAGGGATTGATCTTTCACCTTCATTGTGGTAGAGACTTTCAATTTGAGCAGGAAAACCTTTTCCATGGGATTCGGGAAGACCATTGTTAGAATCAGACATCTACAAAACGGAAGAATAATTCAAGTCAGTTAATTGAATCCTTTATAACACACCCAAATGAGATATTAAGGCTAGGATCCAACATAATATCCTACAAATTGGAAGAGGGATGTCGTAATCCAACTCGCAGAACATTTGAAGGTAGGTAAATGATGATTTACCAATTTCGACCATGAAAAACGAAAAGGAAGGTTAAGTTTTAAATGTATTGAAAACTCCTAGATCTTTTGAGATTCATTGAACTTTTCAATGACATGTTTAAATCTTGATATGCCCCTCGATTTGTGACTGGGATGCCGAGGATCACAAAACAGGGTGTGAATAACCATGCAAATATACATGGTGCCCCCAATGTTACAATCACCTATTCGATGTGCCGGTTAACCACACACGCTCCATCGAACTATGACAAACATCGAGTCACCCTTTGCTATCTTTTCTTATAACCCAATTAGTGTGCCGGTTAACCACACACGCTCCACTAACGTCTTGGCAAGGGTACAAAGTGTAATTTCATGGAATTGCATCAATTCATTTTTGCCTAAAGTAACTAAGATTGGGAATTTTGTAAAACATTTAGTTACTTAATTATTCATTATATTTTTAATGAGGTGAAGGTTTTCTCAATCCTACCCGTTCGGCTAACAACCCTCCACCAATCAAGGAAGCGGTGGGTGAGAGTGAACACCCATTAAACGACCATTTTACATGCCATAACCTTATACCCCCCTTCTAGATCAGTTTCATGAATGAGGCCTACTAACGATAAGACTAGCAGTTTAAGTTATACATATATAATATTAGACTTTTAATGTTATATATATATATATATATATATATATATATATATATATATATATATATATTATATAAGGGTGTATTTTACACTTTTAAAAAATACTAGGTTGTTTAACTTTATAAATTACACTTTTAAATATAAATCATATCATTATGGATTTATTAATTCTCTTTTAATTATACTTTTAATTAATTTAATAAAACCATAAGGGTGTAATTTGAATTTTTCAAAACTAGGGTTTTAGAATTTAAAATTTCAAAAATTAAACTCTTAATCAAAAATTTAAATTCCAAAACTTGAGGGCAAGTTTTGAAACATTTCAAAACATTAGGGTTTAGAATTTAAATATTTCAAAATTAAACATTTAATCAAAAATTTTAAATTCCAAAACTTGAGGGCAAGTTTTGAAACCTTTCAAAACTATCTAGATCAAAATACAAATAAGGCAATTAAACAATTAATTGGTGATTATCTAGTTTTGACCTAATCCAATTTCATGCAAGATAATTGATGAAATAATTCAAATAATTTAACATTTATCAAATATGGTAACAATTATCTAATTAGATGACAAAAATCTTTAATTTTGACAAAGATAATCATAAGGAATCAATAAAATTCGTATTTTATTAATTTGAAACAATTATGTCAACTATCCTAAGCCAAAATAGGCAAAAAAAAAACGAAAATTCGTCTGTCTGACAGTCAGACTCGCCGAGTCAACATATGGACTCGCCGAGTTCATCCTACTCGACGAGTCCACATTGGGACTCGACGAGTTTGTTAGGCAGATGGCCAAAAACTCGACTTTGTAATCAAGAATGAAACACAAAGCATCAATACAATAGAAACCAATCAAGACTCTAATACTACTGATGGGTTTTATACAAAAAAATATCCTATGTGCTCATACAAACCCTAATGCTTGGATCTAGGTTTCTCTAATTGTACATGCAATTCATCCAAGGCTCAAGAACCCTAATCTATCATATGTAATTCAAAATTATCAAATAAGAATAGATCTAGATGATTACCTCTTCTTGAATGGCTTGAATCTTCTTGTCTTGGAGCTTAGAGTCACAAATGTCACTCCTCTAATGGCTTACAAACACCACAAGCAAGAGAATGAAGTATGAGAGAGAGAGAGAAGAGAGGCAAAATCGGCTCTGGGGTTCCTTAGGATCAAGTGTAGCCGCTTTCCCTTGCCCTAGGGGTCCTTATATACTTGTGCTGCTAGGGTTTCAGTCCAAAACCCTAATGGATAGCTTAGGCTTTAAGCAGTCCAAGGAACCTTCTGGAATAAGGCCCCTTTGGACGAAATTGGATGCCCAAGCCTCCAAGATTTCGTCCACCCTTATTCCTTAGGGTTTCCCAACCCAAATTCAACTATCATACATTTGATAGTTTTAGTCCCCTGTATTTAATTAATTTCTGTTAGCCACAAAATCAATTCTTTATTAATTCTTGCCTAATATTAATTAAACAATATGATTTCTCCTTTAATATATTATTCTCATAATATATTATTAAATCATAATTAATCCTCTTTCTTCATAAATCATCCTATCAAGTTGCTTTGGTGAAGGCAACCCAAAAGGACCATGCACAACCGGGTCAAGTACATACCAAATATAGTTATGGGCTTAGACACTAATCCAACACTATTCTCAACGCTCTTGGCCTTTTTCTCTCAAGGTTGACTTTTCGACTGAGAGCATCAGTGACAACATTTGCTTTACCGGGGTGGTAAAGTATCTCACAGTCGTAGTCCTTGAGTAACTCTAGCCAGCGTCGTTGTCTCATTTTCAATTCTTTCTGATTAAAGAGATACTGGAGGCTCTTATGATCAGCGAAGAGTTTGCACTTCGTGTCATAGAGGTAATGCCTCCATATCTTTAGAGCAAATACTACCGCTGCCAACTCCAAATCATGAGTGGGGTAGTTCTTTTCACGTTCCTTCAACTGTCGAGATGCATATGCTATCACCTTTTCTTTTTGGGTCAGAACACATCCCAACCCGACTCCCGACGCATCGCTATATACCGCGAAGTATTCAACTCTATCGGGTAGAGAAAGAATCGGTGCTTCACATAATTTCTTCTTTAGCTTCTCGAATTGTTCTTCGTGCTTCTCGCTCCATGTATAAGTAGCTCCTTTATGGGTCAGGGTTGTTAATGGAGCAGCTATCGAAGAAAAGCCTTGGATAAATCCTCGGTAGTATCCAGCTAATCCCAGAAAGCTTCGAATCTCCGTGGGACTTTTCGGTCGTTCCCACTTCATCACCGCTTCGATTTTTGCTGGGTCAACCATTATCCCTTCTTGGTTAACCACATGACCCAAGAATTGGACTTCTCGGATCCAAAAATCACATTTGGAGAACTTTGCATATAGCTTCTCCTTCTTCAATACTTCTAACACTTCCAGCAAGTGTCTGCCATGCTCCTCTTGACTTTTCGAGTAAATCAGAATGTCATCTATGAACACTATCACAGATTTATCGAGGAATGGTTTACAAACCCTATTCATCAAATCCATGAATGCTGCCAGAGCATTGGTCAGTCCAAACGACATAACCAAGAACTCGTAGTGTCCATATCTCGTTCTGAACACAGTTTTCTCAATATCCTGCTCTCTTACCTTTTGCTGATGATATCCTGACCTAAGATCGATCTTTGAGAAATAGCTCGAACCTTGAAGTTGATCGAATAGGTCATCAATCCTCGGCAATGGGTACTTGTTCTTCACCGTTTCCTTGTTCATCTCTCGGTAGTCTATACACATTCTCATGCTTCCGTCTTTCTTCTTCACAAATAGCACCGGAGCTCCCCAGGGTGATGAACTAGGTCGAATGAAACCGTTGTCCAACAACTCCTGAAGTTGTGTCATAAGCTCCTTCATCTCCGTCGGTGCTAATCGGTACGGTGCCTTCGCTATCGGTGTTGTTCCTGGTAACAAGTCTATTCTGAACTCTACTTGTCTATCAGGTGGTAATCCGGGAAGATCTTCGGGAAAGACTTCCGGATAATCACACACCACTGGTATACTCTGCACCTCCTTCTTTTCCTTCTTAGCGTCGATAACAAATGCCAAGTACGATGCACATCCCTTGTACAAACATTTCCTGGCTTTCATTAGGGAGATGATTCCAGAATTTACTCTGTGTTTGTCCCCGTACACCATGAACGACTCTTTTCCGGGTGCGTTTATCCCCATACACTATAGATAAAAACCGTAGATAAAAACTTCTTTAAGATTTCTCTTTAAGACCGGTGTTGTGCTCAAACTCTTCATCAGACTTGTTGTCTCGTTTTTGTCGACAGTGGAAGGAGTTATGTTATCGTCCGTGCCAAAAATTGCATCCTAAAAAAATATAATTTTATAATATAATTATTGCTATAATGAAGTATTGTTTTCAAAATTTTAAAATGTATTTAACCATTAAATTTTTGATCTCTTGAGATTGCAAATCGGCTGAACCAAAATCTAATGACTGTGAATTAGAAGGCTGTATAATTCAAAATTTTAACAATAAAATAATGCACTAAAAACTAAAAGAATATTTAAATAAAGAACAACCAAAAATAAGTAATAACATAACCTGTGACTCGGTTAACTTATTTTCAAGTTGTTCGATTAAACTTTCATCATCACTGATTCTAGCAATACCATATTGGTTGTTCTTTTTTGACACATTGAATTTTGTAACAGAAATTTTGAAGGCCAATTTCAAACCTTTCAATGCATTAACTCCCCCCGGATAAAAATCAAGATTGTCTCCAAGCTGCAATTAAAAACAATAAAAAAAACATTTTGTTTAAAGTGATATATAAGAAAATATTTTAATGATCATTAAATAAGTAGAAGACCCTTTCCATTTTTTTAACCAACTCTTTCGCTGATTGCTTCAATAGATACTTCCCTTCTCTCTCAAACATGGTTAAGGTTAGAGTTCCAGTATTATCTCGCACACGTATAGGAATCATAAACCTATAAACAAAATGGAAAACAATATTAATCTTATGATAAACATGGAATATTAGATAGTTAATTATGATTAAAGTGTAAAGTAACAACCTTGGAACAACAGAAGTGGTAGTTTTTGTGCAATTTTCATTATTACATTCCTAAGATTTGGTTAGATGAGCATCAGCTTCATCTGATGGAACTGCTTTTCCAAAACAGTTGGTACATGCTTGATAATACCATTTTTGATTCTGTAAAATACCCTTTATAGTGCCCACGATAACGAAATTACGTTTCTGCAAAAAAAAGGTATGTACTTCAAATTAACATACATAACACAAATGCAAACGAAATGTATTTAAATTATATAATACAAACATAAAAAAACACAAACACACGGTAACAATATTTAAAACAACAAATTAAATCGAAACAAACAATAAGACATGAAATACCTCGACGGTTTCCCAAACCTCAGCGATACCCTTCAACTTATTTTTTTACCATGAAATCATCATATTCTGAAAGTTGATTGGATGGAATAACTGAAAATGTATTTGTAGATGAATCGGAACGATCATCTCCATCCAAACTGTTATGTATACAAATATATATATATATATATATATATATATATATATATATATATAGTCACAAAAACTTTAATTGTACAATAAAAACAATAAAACATAAATTACATTTTGTTGAAATCAATAATTTCATCTATGTCAGAGTTAATGAACAACTTGGAAGATGTAAAGTAGGTGTTTACACTTGGACGATCTATAAATTCAAATATATAAAGAGTATTTTAATGATGATAACATAAGTTTTAATAGCATAATTAGTATACCTCTCCACACATTAATCTGACCAAACTGAAGAATAACAACGATATGACGATTGTCTGAATTGTTATGTATATACTCTTGCATCTTGTAGGCATAATCGCCCCACAAATTGACACGAAGTTGCAAACCTCTGTAAAGTAAATTATTGATAAAATAATGATATATTAAAATAATGCAATTTAAAATTTAAAACTTAAAAAATGTAAAAATATAAGAAAAACAACTTCGCATCTAGGATGTGTATGTTCAGCCTGTGTTTTGATTTATCTGGATGATCTCGTTGTAGCTCAACAATTACGATAACCAAACCCATAACATTTATAAAAAAAAAGGCACATGAAGGTTATGTTGGGAATTGCAAAACATAATATTATATTTAAACATATAATGATATGTACTAACCAACAGACGTATCTAGAGAATGGGCCAATGATAACATAGTTTGATAATCAACAAATGAAAACCCAAACTCAGATCCAGAAAAATCGTTACACTCCGTAACAACGGTTTCTTGGACTAACGTGAGTTTCTGAACATGAGGAGCTAACTTAAAACTACCTGTTTTCAGTGCTGCAAAGTTTGGACCTCTGATGTAGAATGACATCCCATCATTTACAACATTTTTGAATTGATATATATTCCTTTTAGAGACTGTTGCATGGATTTTTTTGCCCCTAAAAATATTTAATACAATATCAAAAACTTCAAAACTAATTATAAATATTGAAATATGTGTAACAAATATATAAAAATAATTTTTGTAGGATACATGTTCATCCATTAAGATCAATTCAATTGAAAAAATTTCATCTTTGTTGTAGAAAGACATTTGATGCCAAAGGTTTATGACACAGAGTTTGAAAGTCAAGTCATCCCTAGTTACATTCACATCAGCTATCAAGGTAAGATTTGGTGGTGCCATTTATCTGCAAAAAAAGTACAAAAACAAAAACTGTTTTTGTAAGACACCGAAAGATTAATAAATAAAAACAATAAAGGGCATGAGTTTTTTTTGTTAAATGTATGCATATGCAAAAGTAGGTTGCCCTGTTAGGTTCAAATATTTTTTATTAGTATATATCAAATATAATAAAACGGCATATCTGTCCATTTATAGTAAAAAGAAACAATATCAGTTGTTTTTCATGCACAAAAGGGCATAATCGTCATTTTAGTAAAAATAAACAATATACTTTATTTTTCTGCCAAATTGTGAAGATAATCAATAATTTTTACTTAAGAAACTAAATAGTTTTTAACATATTGTATAAAATTAGTACAAAAACAATAACTGTTTTATAAGACACTGAAATATTAAGAAAATAAAAACAATATAAGTTGTTTTTCCTGCACAAAGGGGCATAATCGTCCTTTTAGTAAAAAATAAACCGGACAACTTTATTTTTCTGCAAAATTGTGAAGATAATCAATAGTTTTTAGCGAAGAAAAGTAAAATGGCAACTTTATTTTTCTGCAAAATTGTGAAGACACTAAAAGATTAAGAAATAAAAACATAAAGGGCATGAGTTTTTTTTGATGAGAACGTATGCATATGCAAAAGGAGGTTGCCCTAATTTTTATTAGTATATATCAAATATAATAAAAGGGCATATTCATCATTTTGTAGTAAAAAAACAATATTAGTTGTTTTTCCTGCACAAAAGGGCATAATCGTCCTTTAGTAAAAATAAACAATATACTTTATTTTTCTGCAAAACTGTAAAGATAAACATTAGTTTTTACCGAAGAAACTCAATAGTTTTTAACATATTGTGTAAAATTAGTACAAAAACAAAAGTTGTTTTTGTAAGACACTAATAAAAACACAAAGGGCATGAGGTTTTTTTTATTTTTTTTTTATTTTTTTTGATAAGAAAATATGCATATGCAAAAGTAGGTCATTTCAGTTAAAAAAACAGTTAGTATATATTTTTTGAAAATTTGTAACTTTTTATTATTATATAACACATAAACAAAAAAATAAAAGATTACAAACATATACATATGCAAAAGTAGGCTGCCCTAATTTTTATTAGTATATATCAAATATAATAATAAAATGGCATATTCATCCTTTTATAGTAAAAATAAAACAATATCATTTGTTTTTCCTGCACAAAAGGGCATAATCGTCCATTAGTAAAAATAAACAATATACTTTATTTTTCTTGAAAATTGTAAAGATAATCAATAGTTTTTACCGAAGAAACTCAATAGTTTTTAACATATTGTGTAAAATTACTACAAAAACAAAAACTGTTTTTGTAAGACACTGAAAGATTAAGATTAATTCTCTATTCTGTTAAGAAAACAGTTCGAAGAAAATAAACAATATAGTTTATTTTTCTGTATAATAACAATGTTTACAGAGAAGAAAGGAATAGAAAGAGAAGAATATATTAACATAAACATAAACAATCAAAATAACAATAAACGATTTATCAGATTTGCACATAAAAAAGCCGTGATGCCTTACCTGCAATGCAGACTCTTTTAGGGTTTAGATAGGGCTGTAAACGAACCGAACGAACACGAACAAATGCTTGTTCATGTTCATTCGTTTAAGTTAGCCGAACAATCGAACGAACAAGAACGGATAAATGAACGGAGTTTTCTTGTTCATATTCGTTCGTTTAACAAATTGTCTTGTTCACGTTCGTTCGTTTATGTTCGTGAACATGCTAAACGAACATAAACGAACGAACATAAACGAACAAAGATAAACAACACAATTGAACATATATGAACATAAACGAACTATAATATAGTAATATAATAAAAAAAACAATTGAAAATATATGAACAAAAAAAAAAACTTAAACGAACGAACATAAACGAACGTTCACAAACGTAAATGAACAAACGAGACCATTTTTCATGTTCGTTCGTTTAACTAAATGAACGATAATTTGTGTTCATGTTCGTTCATTTATTAAATAAACGAACATAAACGAACTTCCCGCCGAACAGTTCACGAACGGTTCGCCGAACGTTCAGTTCGTTTACAGCCCTAGGTTTAGATGCTTTAGATATGAGACAGACGAGAAAGGTTGGAAAATATTTTAGGTGTATGGTATTTATAAGTGAAAATTTTAAGTTTATTCAAAGATAATTTAGAATCGATTTCATCTCCTATTATGCAGCATATATATATATGTGAAAAGATCATTAATTGAAAAAAATTGATTAATTTAAGCATGTTCGATATATAAATTCATTTAAATTGATTTTCAATTTCAGCTCAATTTGAATTTCAAATTCAATTTCAATGCAGGAATGAAGGAATAGAGATAGAAATGAGTAAACGGAAACCGATCAAAATAGGCTGCTAAATTGTAGGGAATCAGATCTGTTATTTTTGTAGATTATTATTTGAAATCGAAAATCGAAAATCGAATAACTGAATGGGCGGGAAAGAAACTGGTAAATAGGTGGAGAGAATGACACGTGGCATCTTGCTTGTGTATAAGGAGGACATGTGGCATGTAAGTGAGGTTTTTATTAAGAATGGAGATTCACTAGATTATGACTTGCGTAAAACGCGGGGAACATATAAAAAAATACATGTAAAAGTATAAAAAGCTGGTAGAATAATTAAAAAAAAGATAAAGTAACAAAAATAGAATTAGTGTTATTGGTAACATTGAAATGTGAAAAAAAAACAATGAAATAGCTTAATATCTATAAGTACATTCAAGCATTTTTTACTTGTGACGTAAGAACAACGACATATAACTGGTCATGAATGAAGACCGATCCACGCAAATATAATCAAACATTTGATAATGAGTGAACCAACAAACATGTAATCTCCTTCACTTTTAACCATAACAAAGTTACTTATTTCCTTAAACGGAAGGGCTCCCATTATGTAATTTTACTTACACCTACATGCGTGCTTCCCCGAAGGAGGTTAGATAAAATAAACGACGATAGGTTGGTAAAGTTCTCCTGCTTGTGGATTTTTAGTCAGATTGTTCGGTAGACCGATGTACTACACGATTGGTTGACATAATAAAACAACATGAATACTATAAAAATTATAACTATTGATTGTACATTGACAAATAAAAAGTTATTATAAACAAAATTAGAATCTTTTTAAATGCATTGGAATTAGAAAGGAATTCAAATATATAATTTTGGCTAAAACTATAATAGAACTTTGAATGACAATATTGTCAAAATTAACCTTTATTGGTTTTTATAAATTATTATTTGTAATAAATATTTATTTTAAAATAGATTATAAGCATATATGTACAGATATTTTTAGAGATATCTAAGCATATATAGTCAAATTATAAATCACATAACCAAACAAAATCAACAGATTTTAAAAGAATGTGTTTAAGGGGTCTAATATGAAGTGACATATACAGGAAAATTATGACAACATAACTAAAACCACTTATATATATATATATATATATATATATATCATACACAGTTCTAAAAACAGAAACAATAAAAAATAAAATTAACAGTAAAGGAAGCAATTTGATACCTATTGACTTACATCAACTAAATCATACAATTTATTCACTATATTAATCATATTACCGAATAAAAAAAATCAAGACCATATTGTTACAATTAAGACCATAAAATAGATCAATGAAAAATTTATGAGGACACTCATGGGTGTCCACATCATTAAAAGTCCTCCGTTACCTTGAAGACGGCAAGTTACTTTTCCATTTTTAATTGAATGTTACAATTTACATGGACCCAAGTTAGACCATTTAGCTATGATAAACCTCTGCCAAAGTTTTATAAAAATCAATCTGATAGTGACCACAAACTTCAGAACCTTGTGCAAAATAACATATCAATGTTAATGATCACATAACCACATATATTAACCAGTTTTATCCTAGTTTACAAAGGATAGACTCAAAACAAACAGTGACATTGAGATCAATAAGAAGTTGATACACAACCATTAAACTGAGATTTAATTACTAAGCATTTCCATCTTTTCATTACAATATTATGAATTCAAAATTTAAAAATTTCCTAGCAATACAAGTAGAGTGCTAATTATAACATTGTATTTTCAAAATTTCTTTATAAGGTCATTAGACTTTTAGAAACATAACATTAAAGAAGCTTTTCTGATTTGGACCCATGCTGATCTTATAAACGAAAGGGTAGAATTTTAAAGTCCTTAGTTTTTGACACCACAATTTGACATGTTTCGACCCTCTTTCTTATTGTAATTTGAACTCGATCAATAGCTTTCTAGTAGTTAATTCGCAAATCTTTACTACATTATCAAGTCCAATACATTAATAAAAAAATCTTTACATTAATAAAAAGAAAATCATCAATCAAGAAAAATCTAAAGGTAACTAAATGATCCAACAATGAAAATAAGTGAATGAACTTACCCTTTGTCTCTTCTAGATCCATAGTTTAACGGTTAACCCTTTGTCTTTCCTTGCCTTTTGCCATGGTGAAGACATAAAAAACATTAGAAATTATGTGAGGAAATTAATACTACGGTCTTAATGTTTGATACCTTTAAATACTGGTATCCTGATTTTTTTTGTTCCAGGTTTTATGCCTCATATATAATGAAGTTAGCAAGGTCATTATAGT